ACCACACCCACTGCCGTGGAGTCCATTCTGACCCACAGCGCCCCTAGAGGACAGAGTGGAACTGCCCCAGAGGGTCTCCAAGGCCCTCAACTTTGTAGAAGCAAATTGCCAGGTCTCTCTACCCCAGAGCTGCTGATGGGCTTCGACTGCTGATATTTCAGTTTGCAACCAGCCACTTTAAGCATTGTGCCCCCGCATCCTCTCTGCAAAGACTGCAGCCAAGAAAGCCCCAGGCAGCACAGCTGTGCCACGGGGTCGCCCTGAGTCAGAAGCGACTCCACCGCACAGGCCTGGCTGTTGGCCACCTTCCTCAGCGAGTTCCTGGACTGAGGGACTTGCAGAGGTCGCATGCCCTGGGCAGGGCAGGGCGATGAGAAGGCTTTCCCAGTTTTGTTGGGGCTTTGAGGAAAAGGAGAAAGAGCCCAGATAGGTCATCAGTTCTCCATGGAACAAGCTTGTCACCGCAACAGCACCCCACCCCGGACTCTCAGGGAGCCACCAGCCCAAGCCTTCCTGAGAGTTCCAGGCCAGCAGGGGGTTGGGCAAGACGAGGGGCTTGCTCTGAGGGAGCAGCCAGCCACCAGGTTGGAGGCTCCTGGACCTGACCCACAGCACTGGCCACCTGGGATGGGACCACCTACACCGCCCACCTCCCTCAACAGAGTACCCTGGTGGGGCAAAGGGTTTGTGCTTGGTTACTGACCTACAGGCTGGTGGCTCACATGCACTCAGCCACCCTATGAAAGGCCTGGCAGTGTGCTTCCATAAAGATTACAGCATGCGGAACCCCCTGGAGCGGTCCCGCCCTGGCACACGGGTCTCCATGGGCCAGGGCCGACTCAATGGCATTGGGCTTTTCGGTTTTACTGGGGTGTACGGCACTGAGGTTTTTTGTTTTGTTTTAGAGGGTGGGGAGGTGGCCACAGAAGTGGTATCCAAACCCTAGCACTCGGTCCGAGAGCTTGATTCCACTGCAGGTCAGCCCCAGGCTTGGGTGGGAAGCCCTGCTTCCCGGTAGTCAGGCTCCCCTGGGACAAGCCAGGACACCCGCTGGACTGACGACCACCGCAGGCACTGTGCCCTGCTCGGAGGCAGCAGGCCGGAAAGAAGACAGTGCCAGGCAGCAGAAAGGTCCCAGAGGCAACAGCAGCCCATCTCGTGCATCCCAGCTCACCAGCTGGGCCACTGGCCTGGGCCTCTCACCTCTGAAGCTGCACTTCCTCTCAGCCCCTCACACGTGACGACGGTGAGCCGGTACGCGCTGAGCCCTGGCATTGGCGTGTGCTCAAGAAACGTCAAGGGGAGCTCCCGAGTGGTGCAAACGGTGGACTTGGTTGGCTGCCAGCTGAAAGACTGGGAGATCGAGTTGACCTACGGGTGCCTCCAAAGAAAGGTGTGGGGATCTACTTCCCAAAACTCAGCCACTGAAGACCCTCTGGAGCTAGTACCCAGGGCCTTAAACGTTTGCCAATGGCCGTCCAAGGGACCATCTGGGAGTCAGGAAGAGGAGGAAGAGATGCAATGTGCAACTGACTGCCTCCAGCTGCCTCCTCTGCCAGGAGACCAGAGCTGGATGGTGCCTGGCTACCACCACTGAACATTTTGATCAAAGATTTAACAAAAGAATCCTGATCAAAAGGTGGAGGGTACAGAACAGAATTTTTTAAATTCTCATGGAATCCAGACTTTCTGGAGACATGGAAGGTTGGATAAACGTCTGAAACTATTGCCCTATGATCATCTTTGAACTTTAAATCAAAAATACCCCCTGAAGTCTTCTTAAACCCGGACAATCGTAGCTTAACTAGATAAGACCCCAGTGCAGTGCTCCGTAACCTAGTCTGGCTCCGGGGCCGCCACGCCTGGCTCCCGGCCAAGAGCATGTCCCCTTCTCCTTGCAGATTGCTGTGACCTTCGCCATCGTCCTGGGAGTCATCATCTACCGGATCTCCATGGCCGCCGCCTTGGCCATGAACTCCTCGCCCTCTGTGCGGTCCAACATCCGAGTCACGGTCACGGCCACTGCGGTCATCATCAACCTGGTGGTCATCATCCTGCTGGACGAGGTCTACGGCTGCATAGCTCGGTGGCTTACAAAGATTGGTGGGTGTCCACGCCACGAGGAACGGTGCCGGGCAGCATGGAGGGCGGGCGGAGCCCTAGGGTCAGACACATTCCTGTCGAGGCAGATTCCCTGGTCTGCTCTGTGACCTCTGCAGCCCTAGTTCCCTAGTTTCTAAGTGAGGGCACAAGAGCTGTGTCCCAGCGGCCGTTAGAGCTAACTGAAGGCCTGGGGCCTCTCAGCCACCTCTCAATGTGTGACACAGAGACCACAGGTGGGTGGCTGGCGGGAACAGAAACGGACTGTCTCCCGGTTCTGGAGGCTGGAAGTCCGAGCCCAGGGCGTGCCTCTAGGGGAGCACTTCCTCGTCTCCTCTGGCTTCCCGTGGCTGCTGGCTGCCCTTGTAGAAGCACCTGTCCCCACCGCATGCTTTGCTCTTCCCACGTGCATTGGTGTCTTTGTATAACTCAGAAGGGATAAGGTTTAGGACCCACCCCATTCCGAATGGCCTCACTAACAGGACAGAAGCACATCCCTGTATCCACACAGAGTGGGGTTCCCAGGCACAGGGGTGGGGTTTTGAGCACATACTGGGGCACAGTCCATTCAGAACAGCAGCTGGTCCTCAGGCTGGGAGCCTCGCTGTGGGTATTTCCATAGCAGTACCACCACGTCTCCCCTCCCTCCTCCCAGAGGTTCCGAAGACCGAGAAGAGCTTCGAGGACAGGCTGATCTTCAAAGCGTTCCTGCTCAAGTTTGTGAACTCCTACACGCCCATCTTCTACGTGGCTTTCTTCAAAGGCCGGTAGGAGTAACTTCCTTACTGGAACTTGGGACCTGTTCCCAACTAGCTCCACCCAGTCTGGGAAAAGGACGCCCCATCTGTGTCCCTAGGAGTGGGGGCCCCTGAGGTCCGGGGTGGACAACCTCTGAGGCACCCCAGGGATGCCAGAGCAGGGGGACCTGGGCAGTGAGCCCTGGGTGCCCACAGGGTCATCAGCAGAGTCAAGGGTGAGGGCCACAGGTGGGTGAGAAGGAATAAGACGCACAGTTGCCGGCAGCTCAGACTGGGTGAGGCTCAGGTGGGCTCCCAGGCGTCCCACCCCACCACGCCTCTTGCCACCCCAGTCCATTCTGAGAGCCCCTACAGCACCCGCACACCCACAGACAGCTGGAAGGCTGCAGGCCAGAGGCGCCCTGGGCTGCCTCTTCTCACCCAGTCCAGCATGACCTCTTAGGCCGCTTCCAAAGACCTGTCCCCAGGGTGCTCAGTGCTGTCCCCAATGGGGAGCAGAAAGGGGTTCTCACAGCCGCCCGCATCCTGGAGCCAGACAGCTGGTGAGGCACATGCCTTTCGGGGTCCAGGAATTCTTTCCACAATCCCCTCCTGGGTGCCTTCCTTCCACTGCCTCAAGGTCTGGGGGCTTCGTGCTGAGGAAGTTAACTTTACTTCCCTCTGTGGCTTTGGCAAGCAAATAAGCGTTTGGCCAATAGAAGCCAGTGTGGTGTTTCCTGTAGACTAGGTCAGGCCGAGAGAGAGCCCCTAAGGCCACCCCCAGGCTTGAACCCCGGACTCTTGAGCTCTCCTGTGTGGTGTCCTCTGAGCCCGGGCACTTCCCCTAATGTGCCTCCCACCACCGCAGGTTCGTTGGACGCCCGGGTGACTACGTGTACATCTTCCGCTCCTTCCGGATGGAGGAGGTAACCAAGACTGTCTGCAGCCCCTCTGTTCTCCTTTCCCAGTTCTGTGGGCATGTGCTTCGCGGGGGAGAAGCAAATTCGTTAAGCGCGCAGTCCCAGGTTCTCTGGAACTCTCTCCCATTCCCTGGCTGGTGTCATGGGCTTTGATCTTATTTGGCAGGTCCCCTAAAAGAAGAATGTCTCTGTAGAGTTAACAAGAGGTAAAAAATGACGCTACTTTTAGTCTATGTTTTTCAAGGCCACAGGTGTTTCTTTTCTTTGGTTGAGACGAGTTACTCAGGAAGAAACAGGACTTGGCTACACTTTTTGGATTTACCATTGAAATGCCCCCCCTCTCTGCCCTCAAACATGGGGCTGTGTTTGGTTTCCAAGGCTAGTGGCCTCTGGCATCTGCCCAGCAACTCCAGCCACAGTGAGTCTGGCCAGTGCGCGAGCCGGCCTTCTGCCTCCGAGTCATGGGACGTGGGTTTCCTCAGCCACATGTCCCACGACTAACAGCTCCATCAGACCAAGCCACTGGTTGAACTCACAGAATATTTCAGCCCATCAGAAAACATGGGTGATAAAGCGTTGGAGTGGGCGTCAGGTACGGGGTGACCTATCTGCTGGTTCAGCCTCCTGAGTGCAAGCCCTGCACATCCCAAGTCATGTGCTCATCCAATAGTAATGAATGTTTTCAAAAAGATCATAAAATGCTTTTCCATGGCATGGCCTTGGCCTTGGAGTAGGATAGACTGTAACTCCTGTATGGATGGAGAAGTTGGGAAAGGCTGTTGTTGAATAGAGTAAAGCAAAGGGCATCGTTACTTTTCATGAAATTACAGCTCTCCAAAACTAACTTTTCAGGTAACTGTATAAAAAAAAAGAATTTAAGAAGCTCTGGTGGCACAGCGGTTAGAGCATTCAGCTGCTAACTAAAAGGTCAGCATTTCGCATCCACCAGCTGCTCTGCCAGGAGTAAGACGAGGTGGTCTGCTTCCATAAAGAACTATGAGGCAGGTCTACTCTGTCCTACAGGGTTGGTATGAGTCAGAATCCCCTTAACAGCAGTGGGTTTGGTTTGGGTTTGGTATAAAAAGCTTGACTCAGGACTCATGAAGGACTTGGGGCAGTCCTGGGGTCACAGCACCCCTTGGGTTCCCTTTTCTTGGGCGGGTTAACTAGCTTGCCCACAAAGGTCTCTGACCACCACCTGGCTGCCTAACCCTCAGCCCAAGGTGACTTAAGCCCATCGGGTGCAGGGACATTAGACCAGGGGCTGGGAGTCCCTTATCTTCCCGACTACATGAACCCGAGCCCACAGTGACAGTGCAGCCATGGGTAGGCAGCCAGGACATATAGATGGGCCCTGCCCTGGAGAAGAAGGGCCCTGAGTTCCAGCCCCACCACTGCCTGCTCCCTAGCCTCGTGCTCCCTTCTCTGAGCCCTGGTTAGGGCGCTCCCAGTCCCAGGGCCTGTGGACAAGCTGTAGCTCCCTGGGCCAGAACCAAGTCCTACAGACTGGTGTTGAAAACAACAGAAACTTAGTCTCAGTCCCGGAGGCTAGAGTCCGAAATCAAGGTGTGGGCGGGGCCTTGCTCCCAGCCCGGCTCCAGGGGAGGAGCCCTCCTTGCCTCTCGGGTCTTGGCCTGCAGCCCTCAGCCCCTCAGCCTGTAGCTGCTTGACTCCTGTCTCTGCCTGAGTCATCACATGGCAACCCCCTGGGTGTCTCTGGGTCCAAATCGCCCTCACCAGTCGTTGGCTTGAGGGCACCCTACTCCAGTAT